ATTTCAACAGCCAAATACTCTCGCAGGATGTTGGTGTGCAGCCAGATGAAGGGCTTGAGCTGGTGTTCAGACGTGGCCCATTCTGCATCAGCTTCTTCTTCAGTGAGCTTCTTGCCATCATCAGGGAATTCACAGTTGGTTCGGATATGGCCTTTGCGCCCACAGCGGGTGCAGACCTTGTCCTTACCAGAGTCGAAGAAGACGTCTTCTCTGAGAACACGAAAGTAAGGCTCATGAGTGGCAAGACTCAGCATGATCAAGTCGGCATCCAAACCATAGATGACGTGCGAGGTATTGGGGTCATGTGTAGGCATAGCGCGTTGAGAGCGAATGAAGTTCATGATTTTGTGTTCTCCTTCACCAGGCACAGATGCATCTGAAATGATGACTTTCATGTCCTTCCACGAAGGGTCGGTTGTGAACTTGTACGCACACCAGTATTGAAGACTCTCGGCAAGAAGATGCATGAAGGGTGTACCGGGGGTGATTGCATTAGAGTCCCAAGTCTTTTCAACGACCTCTTCGAGACTAGTAATGTCCTCACCACGGCTGGCCTTTTGTGAGTTGAGGATCTTCTGAAACTCTGCACGCTCATCATCCTTTTCCTTTGCTTCTTTGGCTGATCGGAAACGACGCGATCGCTGCTGGTTCATTTTGGCACGGGGGGCAACACCATCGACGGCCATGTAGAGCAGCTTACGGGGACGCACCATGCCGAGGACGCGGTCAGTGTACTCGAAAATGGCAAGCATCATGTCAGCCTCAGTCTTGGGCGCGGGCTTGTCTTCGGGATGCGAGCATGGATGCACAATGCCGTTCATGTCGAGGTACAGGTTGTCGAACTCCTCACCGTTGGGGTTGGGTCCAGTACGGTCTACGGGGATGACGGCATCACCGACTTTCTTGGGCAGTTCCTCTTGCACACTTGATACGATCTTGGGGTATTTCTGGCTGAGCCAGCGAAACATGGCGGGAACACCCATTGTGGCGGAAGGCGCTCAGTGGCGCGCTGTGTAAGGGAAGGGTGCGAGGGTTGTACGTAGAGGAATGGGGGAGAGTGCGGCGATGGCGCAGACGCGTGTGCTAGTGTTCTGGAAGTGTGGGTAGTATTGCGAAGATACTGAAAAGGCTGGAAAGAGCGGCGACTGGCGCTTCTATCGATGAAGCGCCCCTTAGAAAGAAAGAAAGAAACTGCCTGGCGGCGAACACTGTGACCCTTCTACTGTGTGATGGCGCTGGAGGCGATGTCTAACAGCAGCAACAGGGAAAAAAGCCTCCTGAGATCGCAGGCTTCTTTGGCGCGCTGTGGCCGAGTTGCGCGTGGGATTGACGGGGATGGGGGGGGAGGAGGGGGGTGGGAGTGTTACGGTGAGAAGTCGACAAAGACGCGCACGAGTACAAGATTCACTGCCAAGACCGGAAGCCGGGGCTTAGCCGAGCAACGTACGACCAGGGTGCGGTGTGAGCGAGCCGCAGCCCGTGCGCCGAATTATACGTGGAGCTTCAAGGCACGGGTGAATGCTGTCTTCACCTGTGCGGGCGGCAGTCACGTTGGCTGAACGAGGACGCCGGGCTGATCCGATGGTTCCTCACACATATACTACATACACTCGCATGAACATTCACCCAATCGCTGCCCCTATCCCTGCCATGAAGCCATAGCCCGCCCAATTTCCTCAAGATGATGCGAGTACTCGAGGCCAACGCGCCTCCCAAGCAGACTGCCACGGATACTATCAGCACACTGAGCGGACGCCTGACCAGCGCAACCCTCCTCGAAGACCGCCGCGCTGCCATTCTTGGCCTCCGTAGTTTTGCAAAAGAATACCCCGCCTCAGTCGCATCAGGAGCGCTGCGGGGACTCATTACGTCTCTTACCAAAGATGGCGACGATGTGGACACACTCAAGGTGGTGCTTGAGACGCTGCTCATGCTCTTCCACCCCGACGAGAACAGCCCAGAAGCCTCCGAGGAAATAGCCCTGTGGCTGGCCGACCAATTCTCACAAGTATGTGCTTCCTTTTTGTGCGCGTGCCTGCTAGTGCTGAGCTTATGGTAGCGACAAGACAATATCACATTGCTCGTCGACCTCCTGGAGAAGCCAGATTTTTACTCGCGCCTGTACTCGCTGCAGCTGATTCGCGCCATTTCGCAAGCACGACCCCAACGAACTCAGGAATGTGTCCTCACAGCCCCCGGCGGCATCGAGCGCCTCGTCGCAACCCTCGATGATCCACGAGACGCCATTCGCAACGAAAGTCTCGTTGTGCTCAATGACTTAGCGCGCTCCTCGTCTGAACTCCAAAAGCTATTTGTTTTCGAGGATGCCTTTACCAAGATATTCAACCTGATACATGCCGACGGCGGGCTCACACAAGGTGGTGTTGTGGTTCAGGACTGTCTGAGTTTGCTAGCCACTCTCATTCGCTTCAATGTATCCAATCAGACCAACATTCGTGAAATGGGTCATGTCGCACGATTCTCTGCACTACTTCCTGGAGGAAAGAAGCCAAAAAAGGCACGCCCCACTGTAGAAGGCGAGGACGACTGGGTTAGTCCGCAAAGCGATAAGAATATTTGGGGCCTGCTTGCCATCATGCGCATGTTCCTTGTCAAAGGGAGCCCAGGTACACTGCAAAACCAAAACGTTTTCCAACAACATGGCCTTGTCCGCCAGCTACTCAATATTGCCTTCGATCCTTCAACTGCAATGCCCATTAAGATCGAGGCTCTCAACACTTGCGCCGATCTCATCAGAGGCAATCCCCGACTACAAGAAGACTTTGCCCAAGAACAGGTTCGGCCCATTGTCGAACCCGCCACAAATGGAGTGGCTTCTCCAAATGGTACTGCGCAGGTATATGTTATTGAGGCGCTCCTCAACCTTGTGCTCTCCCCTGCGCCCAATGACCTTTTTGATTTGCGTAATGCAGGATGCGAGTGTATCAAGGCCTACTTTTACCATCATGTGCAGATTCAGGAACATTTCCTCAACCGAGCCATCGGTGGCCACGAAGGTGGTGATGAGACGGCTAACGCGCTGACTATACTGATGGCGGGTCCGCAAGTTCCTCCAACTGGCGACCCCTACAGGATTTGGTTTGCAGCAACCCTCATGTACCATCTCATTTTCGACGATTACCAAGCAAAAAACACATTGATGCAAGTCAAAGAAGGCGACGCGGAAAGTGGCGAGGAAGTCGTCACATGTATACAGACATTGACTGCAAATCTGATTGCAAGTCTGCAGCTCGGCGAAGACGAGCGCATTTCAGTTGCCTACCTGATGCTTTTGCTAGGTTGGCTTTTTGAAGACGCTTCGGCAGTAGATGATTTCTTAGCAGAAGCTAGCAGCTTACAAAGCTTGGTCCAGGCTGTTTTGACACCGGGAGAGGATCGCGTGTTGATTAGAGGTCTGTGTGCAGCACTGTTGGGCGTCGTGTATGAATTTTCAACAAGGGATTCGCCGGTGCCGCGACGCGAACTCCAGCCAATACTTACCTCAAAGCTCGGTCGCGACAAGTACCTCGACGCCATCACGGGGCTGCGACACCACCCTCTTGTGCGCGACTTTGAGGTATTACCTCGCAATGGTGGGGGCGGCGGCAGTTTACCCGATGTGTTTTTCGACGAGACCTTTATAGACTTTTTGAAAGACAACTTCAGTCGCTTATCTCGAGCCATTGACCGAAATCCGAACATTGAGCAGCATCAGTCACATGATGGCGTTGATCGAGACGTAGTTGATGCGTTACGTGGCGAAAGAGATGAAAAGGAGCAGACCATCCAAGAGCTTCAGGCACAACTCATGACTCTGGAGCAAAAATTAAACAATGAACAAGCCGAGCATCGCAAGACGCAGCAAGCCGCGGAAGAGCAAAGAAATACACTAAAACGCATCAATGACAAATTACACGACGACCTTGACAAGGAAATCGCCAACAAGGATCGCGAGCACCGACAAACTATACTTGAGACAGAAAACAGGTATAATCTTCAAATTGTTGCGCTCAACAACAAGCTGCAACAAGCCACTAAGGATGCAAACATCGCCGTCGCGAAGGTCAAGCAAGAGTATGACGGAAAATTGCTTGATGCAAACAAGACACGAGCTGAGCTGGAAAGTCGACTGGCTGCCTCAGACAAAGCTCGGCAAGAGGCTTCGGAGAAGATTCGCAGCCTTGAGCAATCACTGAACCAGGCACGTGGTGAAGTGGCTACCATCACAGAAACTCTGCATAATGCGCAATCGCAAGCCCAAAAGAGCGAGGGCGAGATCAGCAAACTCACGGAAGAAAAGGAAGCGCAGATTAAGAAGCTGAAGGAAGACAAGGAGGCGAAGATCAAGCAGCTAGAGGACGAAAAGGAGGCGCAGATCAAGCGACTCGAGGAAGAAAAGGAAGCAAACCTCACGCAGTTTAAGTCAGAAAAGGAGACGCTGCAGTCGAGCGTCGACAAACTCAAGAAAGAGAACCAAGATCTCAAGACCAAGGCCCAAGACCAAACATGGAAGGTCAAAGATGCAGAGGAGAAGCTGCGCAAGGCCGAGTCGGGTGCGAAGTCCACAAAGGAGAAGGAAATCAAGGAGCTGCAAGAGAAGCTACGCAAAGCCCAAGAGAATGAGAAGGAGAAGACGACCGAGTTGGAAGATCTTATCATGGTACTTAGTGATCTTGAAGAGAAGAGGAGTAAAGACAAGGTATGTTGTTACTGGAAGCTGAATACGGACTATGCTAATGATTGTAGGAACGTCTCAAAGCTCTTGGGCAAGAAGTATCTGACGACGAAGAAGATGATGATGATGATGACGACGACGATGACGAAGAAGAAGATGAGGACGAAGACGAAGATAGTGACGAAGACGATGAAAAGGAAGAGAAGAAGAAATAGGGCATTCTCGTCCGTACGTAGCTGTAGCTTCGTGACTATTTATAGCCTTGACAGCAGCTCAGAAATAATTCATATATGTCATCGGCAAGAAACACTAGCTTAAACAATCCACACATCAATCGTCACATGTCATTTTTGAATATTGATGCACTAACTCGGACTGCAGGCCTATCGAAGCTCTCTGCTTAAGGCTCATCTACCGTCGCCCTAAAACACCATAGCCCCTCCATCGACAATAATATCCGTCCCATTAATATACCTCCCCGCCTGACTACACAGCAACACGACCGCCCCCGTAATCTCCCACGGATGGCCCATTCTGCCCATGGGATTCCTCGCATTCCAAGTCGTCCTCGCCCTCTCGAGCCCCTCGCCCTCATTCAAAATGGTGTCCATATACCCAGGACTCACACAATTGACCCTAATCCCAAAGCTACTCCACTCGGCCGCCAGACTCTTTGCGAGCGACAACAGCGCCGTCTTGGACGCATTATACGCGGCCTGAGGCTGCGGGAAATTCGTATGATGTGCGGATATACTGGCAGTGAAGACGATGCTACCGCCTGTTCGCTGGTCGCGGAGCTGGCGGGCGACGGCCTGCGCGCAGAGAAAGGAGCCGGTGAGATTGACATCGTGGGTTCGGCGCCATTCGTCGGCCGTCATGTCGATGGCGTGCGTGCAGCCGACGACGCCGGCGAAGCAGAGCAGCGTCGAGACTTGGCCGAGGACTTTGAGCGTGTCGGAGAGGGCGGCGGCGATGGCTGTGTCGGAGCGCACGTCGACGGCCATGGTGAGGATGCGGGCGTGTGGGAATTGGGAGTGTAGCGTTTTGACGGTTGAGAAGGCGCTGTCCGGGTTTAGGTCCCAGAGGGCGAGGCCGGTCGCGCCGTGTTCGAGGAGGGCGCGGGCGGCTTCGAGGGCGAGGGTGCCGGTGCCGCCGGTGACTTTGGAGGAGGGTTAGGTTGAGTGGTGGTGGTGGTGGTGGGGTGGTTGTAGGGGGAGGGTAGATGTGGGTGGTTAACGTACTGATTGCATTGCCCTTGACTTGAAACCTGTACTGGGCTCTTTGTGCTGCAGACAGCCCCTCTGGCGGTGGCTGAGGCGCAGTAAGAGGATTGTCTGCTGTTGAGAGGGTCATTTCTGGCAGTTGTCTGTTGACGAGCGCTGCGCGGTCTTGTTCGTCTCCAGCCATTGTGGTATAGTATGGATTGGGCAGACGGTCTAACTAGGAAGGAATGGATTTTCCCTAGGATTCTCTGTAATACAGTCTACATTTCGGAAGAATATAGAGACTGTTTTTATATTTGGTTGTCGGACGACAGATGTCCGCGTTTTACTGAGGTCTGGTGGAGCTTCCTACGAGGTTGAACATGACGTCGCGAGGCTTGCCCCACCCCCACTACTAGGTGGACGTTCATCCGTCTGGGGCTGTGTAAGGTTTGCCGAGCGTCTAGAGACAACATAGAAAAGACGCTTGTGTGCTCGGCTGCGTGATCACGGTCTTCTTAATGTGTCATGACCCGAAACTGTGCGGATGTCAGCTTGCGCAGAGGCAATATCCTGTCAGTCTGGATGGAATGTGAATGCAGTGTTTGTAGATGTACATGGACAGTAAAATATAGGGTGTTCAATAACTATGGACAAGAATGCTATCAACGTTGTAAGTCTATAGGAAAAGAGGTGTACATGACCCAACAAGAGGGGCCTGTACATGACCCATCAGGGCAAATGCACTTGCTTGGTAGAGACTACGCAGAAAAAAGCATCCACGCCAAAGCATAGACATGTAGGTGTACTTTTTTGTAACCAAAGCCAAGATAGGCGCATGCAGCCACCGAATAGCAGTGTGCCTCAAAGGGGCAATTTTGTAAACACCCATGGATCACGGGTGCCCTTCGGTGCCCCTCGTCCCCTGTAACCGGGCACCCAAATAGAGGCCGCAAGTGTGCCGTTGAAAGCGCCCACATGTCCGCCATATGCCGTCGAAGATACTGTATTAGGCAAGTATCAGGAGAGGTGTAGATTACTTTTGCCCTTCGTGCCCTTTTTTGAGCAGCCCATGCTCCCGGGTCGCCCAGCCCACCAGTGCAGCCATGTCAACGAATAAGCATTGCAGGCCGCTGTCACGTCCACCCACCTCTCGGTGCCCCTTCGCGCACCCCCTCATGCCCCTCATACCCATTGATTCCAATCGTACGGTGCCCACATGCAGCCATGTTTCAATCGTTATCCTGCCCGAACCACTGCCCGAGCTGCTTCTCGTCCAATACAGCAGGCCGCCTCCGCCTTGCGCCCGGTCATTGCGCCCGGTCAAGCCTCTCACCGATTCTTGCTAAACCCCGCAAACAATACACATCTGGTCGATAATCCTCACCGCAACCCACGGTTGAACGGCCAAAGAAGGGGTTAGTCGCCCAGCTAGGGATTAGAACATGTCGCTCAAACCCTCCCCAATAGTTCAAACCCGCCTCTTACTATCCACTAGCGCCAATGAGCAATGCTCAGGGTAGCTACACCCGCACCACCATGCCTTGAACAACAGGGTATATCGACTTGGTCCTCCTTGTCCCAACTCCAGGCCCCCCGAGCCAGTTGTTCACGATAGACAGGCCTTTAACTCGTTTGAGCGGACTTCCCGCTTTCCCTGCAGCAACAAAAAAACGCTGGTGGAGGATCGGAGGCGCACGAGACTTGTAGCAAACAAGGGCCCGTGACGTCGTGCATTATCCAACCACGAGTCAGCATCCGGGACCCGCTTGCCGCGTCTTTTGGCTCTCTCATCCCACCTTGATGTCAACTTTGTTCCAAAGCTTCCTCCGTCATCATGTTGTCCTAGATCCTCGCGCCTTTTCGACTTCTTTTCGTCTTTGCAACTTTCTACTCCTGCATTTTCTTCTTGTTCTTTGAGCGTCTTCGTTGTTGCTTTTCTGGGCCGTGGCTTTGCTGCATCACATGTCTTATCTACAAAACTCGCTGCGGAGATTCCGCCGCACGCAAACTCACAATGTCGACACGATCCGACTACAGCCGCTTGCTGAGCTGTCCGGCTCGCTCGGAGACCTGGGGACGTTACTGCCGCTCATGACTGCCCTGGTTATATCGAATTCGATATCCTTACCCTCTACCTTGCTCTTCACGGGAGCGGCCAACATCCTCACTGGCCTTTCCTTTGGTTTGCCTCTTCCGGTTCAGCCCATGAAAGCCATTGCTGCAGTAGCCATTGCACGCAACTTCTCACTTAACGAGAACGCAGCAGCCGGTATAGTGGTGGCAGCATTGGTAGGCTTGTTCAGCGTTACAGGCTTGCTCAACTGGGCAAACCGCGTGACACCCATTCCAGTAGTGAAGGGCATCCAAGTCGGAGCTGGACTCTCGCTATGCCTGAGCGCTGGATCTAACATGCTTCTCCCACTGACCTGGACCGGTCCATGGTGGGGCGATAACCTTCTCTGGGCCCTCGCAGCCGTCCTCCTACTCCTCTGCACCTTTGCCTACCCCCGCATGCCATATGCAATCATCGTCTTCACGACCGGCATCATTCTCTCCCTAGCATCCCCCCAGGACGCAGAAATCACAGTCCCAGAAGCAGCAATCCCCATTCTCCACCCTTCAAGCCACGACTTCTGGACAGCAATCTCAACCGCTTCTCTCGGCCAGTTCCCCCTCACAATACTCAACTCCGTCATTGCCGCTTCAGCCCTAGCAGCTGATTTCTTTCCTTCCCCACCCTACCCCATCGCCCCCACAGTAACGGAACTCGGCGTCTCAGTCGCCGCAATCAACCTTGTAGGCTGCTGGTTCGGCGCCATGCCCGCCTGCCACGGCTCCGGCGGCCTCGCTGCACAATACCGCTTCGGCGCCCGCAGCGGTTCAAGCGTCATCTTACTCGGCTCCCTCAAATTCATCCTCGGTCTTGTCGCTTTCTGGAAATCCCCATCCATCATGGCGCTTCTCGCTAATATCCCCAAATCTCTGCTCGGCGTCCTGGTCCTTGCTGCTGGCCTCGAACTCGCCAAGGTAGGCGAGAGTGTGAATACCGATGCGAGGGACTTGCGTGTCCTTGAGCGAGATCTCACGTGGGATGGCAAGAGGGTGAGGGAGCTGGATGAGCGGGATAGGAAGGAGAGGTGGACGGTTATGCTGGTTACGGTTGCGGCACTGCTTACGTTTAAGAATGATGCGGTGGGCTTTGTGGCGGGGCTCGCCTGGCATTGGGGGTTTGATGTTGCGAGGAGGGTACAAGGATGGAGGCATGGCGAGAGTGAGGGGAGGGTGTGGACGACAGTTGGACATGGGAGGGATGAAAGCACGGGCTTGTTGGCGCATACCGAGTCGGATACTGTTGCGTGAGTAGAACGGTCAACATTGTATCATGAGTTGACGTATCACATCACATTTCTTGCACTGCTATCATACTCGCTACCAATATCTTGCAATTCGAGCTACTCAACAATACCAAGGGATACAAATAAACCCCAGCCCTGTTCTCTCTACCCACCCCTTGCCCTCCCTCTCCCTCTCCCTCCTCTCCCCCGTCTCTGACTGTGAATCCGTGGTTGCCCCCTAGGCACCACCTCGCCCCTGGCCCACATCTCCTCGCGCTCGCTCAAATCAATCCACCGCTCATCCACGCTCCTCCCGGGCACCTCCTCCCTCCTCCTCACCGCCCTCCCCGTAACCCCATCCTGCACCATCAACTCCATCCCAATACACTCATCAGTACCCTGCTCGTACATGCCCAGCACGAGCGCCGTACCCGTCGCATTGTACGACGCCCGCGGATCAATAATGTCCGAGTCGCGGAACCGGACGAGCGACTGTGCGAGCAGAGGGTCTGGATGGGGATCTGCGATGCCGTGGAATGTCAGGCTGTGGACTGCGGCTTCGGTGCCTGCGTAGAGGCTGGGCGATGTAGGTGAGGGGATGGACAGGGTATAGACGGGGGATTCTTCGCGGAGGGATGAGAAGTCGAGACGGTAGGCGGTTGGGCGTGGGGGTTCGCGGGGGTGAAGGTATAGATTCCATCCTTCTGATATTGTGTTTACGGAGGAGGCCTTGGTGTCGTTGGCGATGGGGGAGACCCGGGCCTTTGATGGTTTTTTGGGCGTGCATAAGGGGATGGTGGTGTAGGCGCGGGATCCAGAGAGGCGGAGGTCGAAGACTTTGATTAGGCTGTGGACGGCTACGCCTGCTACGATGCGTTGTGTGCCTTGGGCGGCGAGAGAGTAGATTGGGGAGGTGTCTGTTGGGTCTCTGTAGATTTGCTCGAAACCGCGAGGAGAACGCAGGTCGTGCAGGCGGATGAGGCCGTCGTAGCTGCCGGAGAGGAATGTGTTGCCTCCGTCCGAGCCACCGTGTGGTGTGCTTGGTGTGGGCAGTATTGAGTAAACTGATATAGGGCGCGAAGTTGCTGCGTTGTCGGCGACAATACTAAAGCTGCGAAGGGGCACAGGCATTAGGCCGTCAGGGCCAACATGGTATACCTCGATTGGTTCTATGTGTGCTTTCCGGGCTACGGCAATCTTGTCGTTGGACAGAAACTCGCAAGACCAGGGCCCGCCAAATTCTGTGCCTGCCGATGTCGTCTTGACTTCGGAGGCAGGTTTGATCTTTTCATGCGACGTGTGGTCACGATCTACAGCATACAACGCTAACGATGAGTCTGCTAGTGCAGTGGCCACCATGGGCGCGCTTGAAGAAGATACCGAAAGACCATTTACACCTCTGCGGCCGGTTTCGTACTGCTGAACCAGTGTCTCTTCTATGCCAGGGTTGGCACTAAGCAGCGACAGCTCGCCCGATGCAGTCCCGAAGACCATGTCTTCGCAGGCTAAATACCGCTGATGCGGCCGGAGCAGCTTCAGTCGAGTGATATCATCACGACCTTCAGAACTGTCAGGGATTTTGTATGTGAACCATGTGTTTAGATGCTTGAAAGAGTCGTAAGCCCATGTCTGGTCAGGCGCTTCTTCTAGATCCTGTTCGCGTTGCCTGATCTTCTCTACGTTTGCACCAGTTTCTTTTGTCCTCAAGATGATTTGCGTGCCCGCTGACCATGCCAGTACTTCTCGTCGCTCTGCCCACCCATCATACATCTCTTCATAGCTGTCGATGCTGGGCTGATAGCCCATAGTCTGTCCCTGTGGGAGTCTCCACCTCTCGGACCGCCAGGTATTGAGGCTCATTGTATTTCTTCTAGGCTCCAGATATGCTGCGATGAAGCCTTTACGGTTCCAGTTGCGGTATA